TTTTACTGACAGAATAAACCTCAGTGATTGGATTTCGGGTGATCTTTTAGAGTCCGATCACAGACTCAGCCAATTTATCTACGGCGTCATTTTGGGATGACGCAAGTACATTATACACCTGCTGGGAGGGCTTAGATAAGGAGAGTTATCTACAGAGGTCTTCATCGAAAATCCGTTGATCATTAACCTCATACACACGTGGCAACGTTTCTTTTGCCAAGCTATGTCGTAACTTTGTGTTGTGGAACAGCAAGTTCAACCTCTGGCGATCTTGGATACCTAATTCTTACAGTCAGTTGAATTTTGGAAGTTGCTATGGGCTGAAGTGATAATAGTGACTTCTCAGGACTCGTTTAATAGAGAACTTGACATTTTAATGATTCTACACGCAATCGGAGTTTGACAACACCCTTGCCAGTAACACTTGTGTGCTGACAGAGAAATCGGAAGTCAAAAGTGAGAGGATATGAAGTTTGCTACCCACCGTTTTACGAAGGTGCAGATCACTGTTTCAGTAGTAATGGCTTTGATAGGCAGTGCTTTCGCCCATCGTGTGAAACGGCACGATTGGACGATCGCTGTCTGTAGATGTGTTGCATTGTAAGGTTTCCTTACCTGTTCCCATATGTTCAATACGCAGTTTTAGGGTTGAATAATATATGACGTGCTGGAGATCAGTGTCTTCTTGAAGCTGTAAGAGTTCAAGAAATTGGACACCTTGGAAACCGTCCAAGGACGTCATACGAGACAAGGCGTACGCAACTACATCGTTTACCTCAGAAATGTGTTTTATATCTGAAGTAAACGGCGAAATTTATTCCAGTTGTCGAGACTCTCGTGGGTAGTACTTAACTGAATACGAGCTGAGAGAGAGTGAGAGGTTTATGGTTGGTGAACATAATGAATTCTCTGTCTCCCAAAAAGTGTTGAAAGTGCCGTGCAGCAAAATATATGGCTAAGAGTTCACTATCGAAAGTACTTTGCCGCGTTTCGGCGTCTTGCAACCGTCTCGAGTAGAACGCTTATGGTTGCCAGGTGTTATTTACAAATTGTTTTAACACACCACCGATTGCAGAGTACAATGCGTCTATTGCAATACTAGTGGGTTCTCTGGTGTCCTGGTGCGTGAGCAATGCTGCGTAGTTGCTTGACTGTGATAGGTTCTGGGTAATCAAAAATGGCCGCCACTTTGCTTTTTGGAGGTCGGTTGCCTTGAGCATCAATAGTATGTCTGGGAAAGTCTAGAAAGTCGGTTCCGATTTGGCATTTTTGAGTGTTATATTAGTGCTGCGTTTTTGTAGACGTTCAAAAATAACATCTACTTGTTGGAGATATTTTCCGTCCGGGCTTGCGATCAAGCGGCTATCTACATACATGTGTACGAAGTAGAGAGCTCAAAAGGCGTCGTTGATGAATTTCCTTAACCGAAACGCATGCTCGACAATCCATAGATGCCGAATGGGGAATGATAGCGGTTTTGGGGATATCGTCAGCAATCATTGGGATTTGGTTATACTCTTTAACTAAAACGATTTTTGAAAAAAAAACATTGGTACCTTTCGTGGTAGCCACCAAGTCGTGATTGTGAAGCAATGGTTAACGATCGAGAGTAGTTTTCGTGTACAATCGTTGGCAGTCACCATTTGAACGCCAGTCATTGCTATCTTTTTTAGGGACCATTTGCAATAGAGATGTCCATGAACTATTTGATAGCCGAATGATTATAAGTCTATCATATGGTGGAATTTATTTTTTGTCAACCTCAGCTCATCGTGAGCCTGTTGACGCGCCTTCGAAAATACCGTTGAACCTGTGGCCGTGATGTGATGCCCAACTTTGCTAGTTACACATTACAATTTCTTTTGCGATTGGTACTGTTCAGGGTTTGCGTGAACCCACGTTAAGATACACATATCACTCACCATATGTGGCTATCGGTCTTTCACTGGCTGCCCGTAAATCGAAAACTGGTTCATGAAGTTGATCTTTAGCATTTGGAGGAGGAACACCAACTTCTGAGGATTTGGTTACCACTGCGATACACTTAAAGAAACAGTTCTGATCAGGAAAAAGCAGATACTATGACAGACTATTTTGGGAACAGTTTTCATTAAAGAGCCTCTTCCAGACGAAGTGGGAGACCCAAATATATAATCAGCAAACTATACGCTCACCAGAGACTTTGGTCAGGACGATGTGCTTAAGACTCTAAACACCTTAGACAAGGAAAAGTGAGCAGGACCGGATGAAATACACCCTAAAATTCTGAGACAAATTACTTACTTTACTTACTCCTGTTACTCTCAATGGAGCATAGGCCGCCGACCAACATTCTCCAGTCAACTCTGTCATGGGCCTTCTTTTACAGTTCTGTCCAATTTTTGTTCATTTTTCTTATGTCCGTCTCCATTTCTCGACGTAATGAGTTCTTTGGTCTTCCTCTCCTCCTTTGGCTTCGAGGGTTCCAGATGAGGGTCTGCCCTGTGATGCAGTTGGGTGTTTTCCTCAATGTGTATCCTGTTCACTTCCAGCGCTTCTTCATTGTTTCTAACTCCGCTGAGATCTGGTTTGTTTTCTCACAGTAGGTTGTTGCTGATGGTATCTGGCCAACGGATCCCAAGTATTTTGCGTAGACAGCTGTCAATAAACACTTGTAACTTCTGGATGATAGCTTTCGTATTTCTCCAAGTTTCTGCCTCATACAATAGAACAGTTTTGACATTTGTATTGAAGATTCTGACATTTGTTTTGAGTTCCAGATGTTCTTCAATTGTAGATATACTGCTCTTGCTTTGCCGATCCGCACCTTCAACTATGCATCAGATCCACCGTGCTCATCAATGATGCTGCCCAGATATGTAAAAGTTTTTACATCTTCTAAAGCTTCTCTGTCAAGTGTGATTTGAATGGTGCATGTTGTATTGTATCGGAAAATGTTGCTTTTCCCTTTGTGTATGTTGAGACCTACTGCTACTGAGGTTGCTGCTACACTGGTCGTCTTCTCCTGCATTTTTTGTTGCGTTTGCGATAGGAGGGTCAGACCACCTGTGAAGTCTAGATCGTTCAACTGCATCCTAGATGTCCATTGTATCCCGTGCTTGCCACCCAGATTTTGATGTCTCCATGATCCAGTCGATCACCAGGAGAAGAGAGAAAGGGTGGGAGTAAGCAACCTTGTCTGACACCGATTTCCACCTCTACCGAGTCTGTGAGCTGTCCTCCATGCATGACTTTGCATTTTCACCTATCATATCAATTCCAGATGACGGTGAGCATTTTCTCTGGCACACAACAGTGTCGAAGAAGCCTCCATTGTGTTTTCCTGTCCAAGCCATCGAATACTTTCTCGTAGCCAATGAAATTGATGTAGAGTGATGAATTCCATTCAATTGTTTGTTCCACAATGATCCGAAGTGTTGCGATTTGGTCGGAATCGACCCTGTTAGTCTCGAAGTTGGTCGCCTACTGAGTTTTTAGTTCTGTTTAACAATACCCTGTTGAAAGCTTTTCTGAGTGTTGAGAGAAACCTGAGACAAATTGCACAATATATTTCAGCTCTACTAATTGTGATATTCAATATGTCATTTGACTAAGGTGTGTTACCTGCGAACTAGAAGGATACAATCGTCACTCTAATACATGAAACAGGACCAAGACAACTTCTACCGAACTACAGACCTTTTAGCCTCACCAGTGTTGTAGTTGAAGTACTGAAAAGAATAGTCAAAAAGACTATAATGACATTCGTGGAAACCAACTACTTGTTGAAAAGTGAACAACATAGCTTCAGAAAAGGTTTATCTTGCACAACAAACCTCTTTATAGTAAGGGAGCATGGATAAGGCCTCTAGACAATTGAAAATCAGTGGATGATGTCCACACAGACTTCAGCGGAGCATTTACCAAGGTGCTAACAAATAAATTCCTATTGAAGCTGGAAAATCTTGACATTGTCAGACCTCTCGGAAAGTGGATTTCCCAGCAGGTCGCAGACATAAAATAACAACAAATTACAAGTACTTCACCTGGAGACCAGTACTTATTGGAGTATCCCGAGGTTCTGTCCTAGGTCCTTTACTTTTTATACTGTATGTAAATGATCTCCCGAATAACGTGAGACGCAGATGCATGCTCACTTCAGGTAGACTTAAATATTGTAATTGGCTGGTCTAAAGAGTGACTGATACTTATCAACACGTCGAAGTGTATCTACATGTACTTTGGGAATACAAGGGTAAATAGATACATCGTAGGAGTTCCTGTACTCATGGTCCACCTCATGAGGATCTCTGAGTGACAGTGAGCCATGATCTTAAGACCAAGGCCCACTACGGGGAGATTGGAGCTAAGATGGACCCTCTAGTCTTTAAGAGGCACATTCACCAAGTTAAACACTACCACGTACATTACAGTATACAAAACCCTAGTAGAAACTAGGCTTGAGAACTGCGTCCAGACTGAAAGCCCCTGTTTAAAAGTGGACTCTGATATCCTGGGACAAGTAAAGTGGGCAGCTACCCGTGCAATTTCAGAACTCCGGGGTTTACCATACAAAGAGAGGCTTGAAAAGCTAGACCTTTCTACTCTATCCTGTCATAGATCACGAGGTGATCTGATTTTGATGCATAGAATACTAATAAATGATTTTGGACCTAATTTATTCTCTCTTTTTCTTTTCATTAGATTGGAACATCCCAGAGGACTTAGTAGAAAAGCGAAGAACGAACAAAACACCGATGGCATACAGGTTTTCACACTGAGTCATCAATTCTTGAAACCTGTTACTCGGAGTGGTGATATCCGCATATTCAATTGGCCTATTCAAGAGAAGACTAGACACTCACGAAAGGATACTAGAAAAGGAATAACATAGGCTGTAGGCCTTCTGTCCTTAATACACAAACTGAATACATTACACTGTAATTCACTAATATTTCTCTTTAGGTCGTTAAGCTTCTTTCTGAAAGCATCAGCGATCCACTGTACTAGATACAAAATTCCTCTAAATGAAATCTTTTTCTGTTGTTCATGCCCATTTCAAACAATTGGATAATGAATGGTTATTGAGGAGGATTTTTGCAGCGCGCCAAATGGTAAAGTGGTGACCTCTTTGTTGACTTTATGGTATTTTGTTAATTACCTTTGTCCTTATCTTTTCTCTAGCCTAAGCTACAAAGTATTCACGAGGGTTCCATCAACTCTGTTCTTGTATTCAGTATTCTTTCACAAAGTGGCTGGTGAAATTCTTGCTTAGTGTTTCGGGTGGAGCAGAACTATGAACTGTAACGACTAGTTAGATTACCGTAACGAAATATTGCCATCTTCTATCCATTAGAGAGCGAATAATACAACTTAACGACTTATCCTGCTAGGGCGACGGGTCAGGGCTAGCGTGCAGAGTTTGTGTTTCATCATTAGCTGACATAAGCTGAGATTCATATGGTTGCAAAGTATTCGTGCATTAATGTTGGATTAGGTTTGTGGTGAAAACTCCAGCCCTATATTGAAAATTGTGAGTGGCTTAACGAAGTGCACGATATCTTGTGTCGCGAAAATTATAGAGTACTTATTCACCAAATAATTACTGTTTTCATCAAGGCATCTCAGAAATAATATTTTAGTGTAAGATTAAAACTACCTAAGTCATTATTAGTTAGATGCACTTCGTGTCACTCACTCAAACTCTGTCTACTACTTTACTACTATAGGTTTAGTGTGTGTGTGTTTGCAAATGAAAAGGGTATTGTTTGATGTTTGAGTTTAAATATTCTAGCTGTAATTCCATCACCTGTAACTAGGTATCAGAGTTTGTTTGTGATCTGTGCTAAGCGAACTAAAGTCTACTGACGAACAAGATAATTTAGGATGGGCGTTAAATACTTTCTCAGTATGTTTGTACTTTACCAGTGTCGTTTAAGACCAAGAATTTCTTTCCTGTTTCTGTAACAGAAACAGCTAAAATAAAGACTAGAAAAGCACCACACGTAGGTTTGCATACTCATCAATGGTTTCGGACAAGTGAAGATACATTTCATGTACTTTTTTGAATGTTTAAATATTACGAACTGTGAAAATGCTAACTGCATTGCCTCCAAACATTTTTCGTCTTTTTTAGCTGTTCAGAAGGGTTGCCATATTTCGACTTCCAAGTCAACTACGGGGTATTCGAACTTCGACACAGTGTTTGACAGAACTCAAGCTTACGTTTGCTTCATCAGCCCAAGCATTTTACAACAATGTCGCGGTAAAGCAAGTTGACGTTCCCACTTTAAATGGTCGTTTCGGTGTTTTGGCTGAACATGTCCCCACAGTGGGTTGTCTAAAACCCGGTATTGTGGCAGTCACTGAAAATGACGGAAGTGTAAAAAAGTATTTCGGTACGTTTCGTCTACCTAGTACGGGAAATAGTTCATTAAGTTTTATTGTTAATGATACTGGTTAAGAATGCTAAGTCAGTCAGTCAGTCGGCTACAACGTAAGACCAGACACATATATGCATCGGTCTAGGTTGCCACACCTCATTGGCACAACAAGATGAACACCGAATTCATAGTAGTTAATTCAATGGTGGTAATATATAAAAGAAAGATTGCATATGATGAAATAGTACAGTTGAAAGAATTAGTTGGTAAAAAGAAAGATATGAAGCGATTTTAACCTCATAGTTCAAGGGAAGACAGAGTGTATACACCTATGCCATTGTGACCGATTCAGAGCCATCTCACATAGAATCTCGAACCATTGGTTACGATAGTCACGCGGACCCGAACCAAGTAGTCTTCATCTACCAACATGGCTAATATTAGAAGTTATTGACTTCGAGCATTGATGTTAGGTAATTGTTTTTGCACTAATAACCCATTCAAATGATTCTCTACTCTTAATATTGATGTTAGTTTTAGCATCTACGAGTTACCATTTCCAATAATCACAGTGACAATTGACAGAGTAGTTCATGTTCATGTGATCTTACACTTCACCAGGTTATTCTGTTTAATCGCTTTTGGCTCCTAGGATATGATTGTCTTTTAGTTGTAAGAGCGGCACCACATGAAAAATACCGATTGCTAGGAGTAGTAATTCATCTTAACTGCACAACTAACGACCAGCATAATGTAAGTTAAGTATACATATAGAACTAGAACTTCTCAAAATGTGGTGCATCAAGATAAATCCAAAAATAGTTTTAGGGAAACTCCTGGGAAATGTCTTAGTCATCAAAGCTTTATGTAGCCAATCCTAGTCAACGTAGAGCCTGACGTCACCCCAAGTTGCTATGCCGAATGAACACAACGAGATGACTACCGAGGGGGTTAAAATAATAGCAATAGCACTAATAGTGGGAAATAAACACCGAGAGTGTTTTCTGAAAAGGTATTAAAATAGGTATGTATAAAAGATTATTGAAGCTCAAGATCTTGAGGAAAGTAAAGAACGAATGGATCTGCACCATCGGTATCGGTTCTGAGCTAACATCTCCGAACACTGATCATGATTATCGCTCAAGTCTGCATCTATCAACATGGCTCGGACTAACGATAAGTAGCTTCATGAACTGATGCTATATCTTGGTTTGGGAACACTTTAACCTTCCTTCAATCTTATTCTACTAATGCGAGTATTGTTCACTTAATAGTTTGTACTTAATGTCTTGAGGGTGACTAAAGTTGTGTACATTACATTTTATAGTATAGATATTTCGTGACTGCAATTCTCATGTGCAATGGACAAGCCACTTATAAACCAGTATTTTTATTCACCTTACTTCCACTTTTTTTAAGACAGTGCGGTTTCGGTCAAAAGATTGGTTATACGGAGCTATAGTAGATCTGAATTTTCGCATCAATTCTGACCAAGTTTATCATAACATTATTCATCTTTAACGGAAATTTATGTAAGAATTAGCAACGTACATGTCTTGTAACTGCTACGTCTATAAAGTAGCTAGACTTGGCTGTCGCGATTATCATTTCGAACTTAACTGGGTGATATACTTGCCACTTGGGTTCCTACCATATCAAGCAGACTATTTGAAAGGTGACAAAATCAATAATTATAGTGGTAATAATGGGAAAAACAGTTCAGTTAAGAAAAATACAAACAAAAAGGATTCTTCCAGTTAAGGTAGTTACTATTTTATGAAGAAATTAAAAGAAAGTTACAGCAGGGTCGCCACTGACTTCTATTCTGAGCCATGTCTGATAACGTCTCAAGGCTGTGTTGCAACATATCTAGGCCCTTAACCAGGGGTCCTTGAAGAACCAACAGAAGCAAGTCCTTAACAGCGTCCATACCACAACATGTCATGCACTGGTCACTGGTCACTACTTTTTCCAGCCGGTCCCAGCATCAGCAAACAATGCACAATGTGGAATTCGCTGAGACAAAAATCAGTGGAGGGTGATGATGTAATCAATACACCCTCAACCAGAACAAAAAACAACCTGCCAATGTTTCTCGGGTTTTGAACAATCTACAAAGTATGACGAAGGCCAGTGGTTTGGACTCAATCGGAAGTAGACTTATTATGTGATAGTTGTTGCATAGGTGATGTGAACCCCTTTTAAAGATAGGGACAACTATCGACTCATGCCGCAATGTTGGAAATTTCTCTAAGGTAGGCAACTTTACTCGCTATTTTCATTTTGTCATGCAATTGCAGCCAATGCTCGTCCATATTTTTGGGTGGGATGATAGCTAGCCTTGAACCTAGCTTGATTTAATATTTAGTTGAAACAGAAGCTGCAACCAATTTGCTGACGACGACATGGACTGACTGCGAGAAAGGGACAAGCATGGTGATAGATTTGCAATTTATGTGCATTCAAGAAAGTGGTTATTTGCGGTATAATATTCCCCCACAGACGCATACACAAGACTACGCAGGTATCACCGGACTACACCACTACAGAGAATCAGATCAATCATATCAACATCACTAAGAAATTCAGAAGGTCAAAGGAAGACGTGAGAACCAAGAGAGCAGCGAATATAGCCTCAGATCACCACCTGGTTGTCGCCAAGATGAAACTGAATCTAAAGAAGCAATGGACAAATGGGGAATCAGGATTACAAAGGTTCAATACAGCCTTCCTTCGATATACTGACAAACTAAAAAAACTCAAGATATTTCTCAACAACAGGTTCCAAGTCTTACAAGATCTACTAAGAGAATCGGAAACTACTATGAATGACAATCAAAAAGGGATCAAAGAAGCACCAACTCCAACGTATCAGGAGGTTCTGAGCTTCAACAGTCATCGTCATAAGGAATGGATCTCTATAGAAACCCTGTTTCGTATTCGAGAAAGGAAGAACAAGAAGACAACAATTAACAACAGCCGAACGAGAAGAGAGAGTTAAGGCACAAGCTGAATACACTGAGACAAACAAGCAAGTGAAGAGGAGCATTAGAACTAACAAGTGGAAATACGTGGAAGACCTAGTAACGACAGCGGATAAAGCAGCAAGAGAAGGAAATATGAAACAAATTATATGACACATAGAAGAAATTGGAAGGGAAGTATAGTAAACCAGAGAGACTGGTCAAGGATAAAGAAGGCAAGCCATTCACTGCGATTCAAAAACAGAGGAACACATGAGTAGACCATTTTGAGCAACTCTTGAATAGATCAGCCTCAGTGAACTCAATGTACATCAACGCAGCACACACAGACATGCCTATAGATGTCACTTCACCAACGTTCGAAGAAATCAGGATGAACATTGAACAAATGAATAATAGGAAAGCAGCAGAACCTGACAAGGTACCAGTCGGAGCACTGAAGTCAGACTTGAAAGCAACTGAAAGTATGCTTCATGTTCTATTCAGGAAGATTTTGAAGGAAAACAAGTGCCACCGACAGACTGGGAAGAAGGATACTTCATCAAGATCGCAAAGAGAGGAAATCTGAGTAAATGTGAGAACTACAGAGGCATTACACTACTACTGTCAGTACCAAGAGAAGTTTTCAACATAATGCTACTGAACCGGATGAAAGATTCAGTAGACGCCCAGCCTCGAAATCATCAGGTCGGATTCCGTAAAGACCGGTCGTGCACGGACCAAATTGTGACACTACGAATCATCGTTGAAAAATCAGTCGAATGGGACTCGTCACTATACATAATCTTCCTTAGCTATGAAAGGGCGTTTGACAATGTGGACAGGAGAACCTTGTGCAATTTTCGACACTATGGTGTACCTGAGAAGATTGTTCACGTCATCTGGAATTCATATGACGGAATACACTGCGAAGTCGTGCACGGAGGACACCTGACAGACTCATTCCAAGTTAGGACCGGGGTAGGGGATGGTTGGAAGAAAGTTAGGGGCGGCCAAACCAAAACGTGGCATCAGTGCCTGAAGTCACTAACTTCTAGTCTGAGCCACGTTGGTAGATGCAGACTACTTGGTTGGGGTCCGCGTGACTATCGTAACCAATGGTTGGAGACTCTTGGGGACATGGCTCGGAATCGATCACAATGGCGTCGGTGTATACACTCCCTGTCTTTCCTTAAACTAAGAGACTAAAATCACTTCATTCTTTCTGTCTACGAACTAATTCTTTCTTCCTATACTATATCCTTATTGCAACCATTGACCTAACCACTCCTATGAATCCGGTGTTCATCTTGCTGTGCTAATGAGGTATGGCAACCTGGATCGATGCACATATGTGCCTACGTTGTAGCTGACTGACTAGGACCGGAGTCAGACAAGGCTACTTACTCTTTCCCTCTCTCTTCTGCTGGCTGACTAGATTATGGATTCCTCGACATCTGAGGGGAAGCACGGAATACAGTGGACAACTTGAATGCGACTGGACAATTTGGACTTCACAGATGACCTATCCCTTCTACCCCATATACACGAACAAATGCAGGTGACGACAACCAGTGTAGCAGCAACCTCTGTATCAGTACGCTTCACCACACATATGAGAGAAAGCAAGATCCTCAAATACAACACGGAGAACACCAACCCAATCACATTTGGTGAAGAAACTGTGGAGGAGGTAGAAAGTTTTACGTTCCTGGTCAGCAACATGATCGATGAACAAAGAGGATCGGATGCAGATGTAAGGGTGATGGTCGGCAGAGCAAGGACAGCATTCCTACGGTTGAAGAACATATGCAACTCAAAACAACTGTTTGCAAGCCAACACCAAACTCGGAATCTTCAATACGAACGTCAAGACAGTTCTACTGTACGGAGCTGAAACTTGGAGAACTACTACAACCATTATCAAGAAAGCACAAGTATTTGTAAACAATTGTTTACACAAGATACTGAATGTCCGTTGACCGTATACCATCAGCAGCGGCCTAGTGTGAGAGAGACCAAACGAAATTCCAGGTGAAGAGGAAAATACGTTGAAGATGGATAGGAAATACATTACGGAAATCAAACTGCGTCATAAGGTAAGTGTTAACCTTCAGTGCTGAACGGAAACGGGAAAGTGGAAGGTTAAAGAACATACTGAGCGGGAAATTGGAAGCAGACATGAAAAGGATGAATATCAACTGTGAAGGATTGCTCAGGACAGATTGGTAACAGGCGTAAGGAAGTCTGTTGATGTTTCGTCAGCTATAGCGCTTAGGGCGATACTAATGCCAGTAAAACCAGGCAGAGATAGCACGGGTCTCCGTATGTATTCAAGTAAAACAGGTTTTCCGAAGGTACAGATGGAGATCCCTAATTCGTCCCAACGTTGGACCCAAATAGATCATATCGCCATCAGCCACCGGTGGAGGGGCTCGATAGAAGACTGTCGCTCATTCTGGAGCACATGCTTAGATTCAGATCATGCTCTAGTACGAGCGCGTATCTGTCTCCGTCTTACTGGACGTAGGAAAGACGCTGCAAGTAAACCTCTTAGGGCCCTACTTAATGATAGTCAAGCTAAGAGTATATTTTAGGAACAACTAGGAAAACAGTTAGGCAGCCATGTATGTGTTGCCCACCCCGAGGCAGCATGGAATGATATCCGAAAAGCTGTGAAAACAGCAGTGATATCTGCTAGTACGGTAACCCGTAAGGTTAGGGAGCAACACTGGATATCAGCAGCATCTATCGCACTGATAGATGCTCGGAAACTCATTCCACCTGGCTCTGAACATAATGAAGAGCGGAGTCAGCTTAAGCGCAAGCTGACAAGAAGTCTACGCAATGATTGTGAACAGTGGTGGGTAGCGATAGCAAGAGAGATGGGAAAAGCAGCGGCAATAGGTAATAGCAGACAATTGTTCAGACTTGTTAAGGAAACCGGTATTAGGAAACCGACTGTTAGCGAATCACTCTCAGAGAAAGATGGACATATTATACATTCTCAATCCAGGAGATTAGATCGATGGGCAGAACACTTTAGGGATCATTCAACTGGCCTTCGGCCACACTTCGGTTCCTCACGATCTTCAGTCAACGTGAATGGCAAGTTAATGTAAGTCCTCCGTCTCTTTACGAAGTTGAAAAAGCCATAGGAAATCTGAGGCGTGGGAGAGCAGCAGGCCTTGACAGGTTTACCCCTGAAATTTTTAAGGATGGCAGTCCAGTATTAGCAGTGAGATTGACTGAGGTCTTAGATAGAATCTGGAAACTGGACGTAATCCTATCTGACTGGTCTCAATCACTGATTGTGCCAGTCTATAAAAAAAGAACAAAAGTCTTGTGACAATCACCGAGGAATCAACTTGACTAATATAGTGTCTAAAATATTAGCTTCAATAATACTTCGACGCCTAACCAAAGCTCGTGAAGAGCAGACTAGATAAAACTAGGCTGGTTTTCGACTTGGACGTGGTTGTATAGACCAGATATTCACACTATGTCAGGTCCTCGAACATAGACACATTCAGACGCCCCATAATAGTAGTATTTCTTAACCTTAAGGCGGCGTTTGACTGTGTTGATCGTGAGGTTCTATGGTAGTGTTTGTCACTGAAAGAAGTACATTAACCTTATAAAGGCTCTCTACTCGAACATAACTGGTCGAGTGAGAGCTTATGGCGAACTGTCATCAGAATTGATTACCTCAAGTGGTGTTCGTCAGGGTTGCCCACTCTCTCTATTCTTGTTTAACTTTATCATTGACGTGCTTTTAGAGATAACACTTTCCTCATCTAAATTCCCAGGGGTTGAACTTCTACCGGGAGGTTCACTTGTTGACTTAGAATATGCAGATGACATAGTTTTATTTGGCGAAAACGCTGACAAAATGCAGAGTCTTCTGACCACCCTAAGCAACAATGCAAGCATGTTCGGGATGCGGTTCCCCCCCTCGAAATGCGAAATGTCGCTTCAGGATTGGGTTGCATCGACACCCGAACTAATGATAGGGAGTGAAGTAGTTGAACGTGTCGAAGTCTCATCAGCCCTCGTGGTCTGGTGTGTGACGAAATCTCAGCACTGATACAGAAGGCTCGACTAGCTTTTACCAACTTGCGTCATCTATGGCGCAGGCGAGATATCCGTCTATCAACCAAAGGACGTGTTTACTGTGCAGCAGTTCGTTCCGTCCTACTTTATGGCAGTGAAACGTGGCCGGTAAGAGTAGAGGAAATTCATAGGTTACTAGTATCCGATCATAGGTGTCTTTGAAACATAGCTCGTATATCTTGGGAGCATCGAGTAAGTAATGCAGTTGTTAGGAAAAGGGTACTAGGTAAGGATGGCAAATCGATTGATGAAGTGGTGAAACTTCATCAGTTGAGATGGCTGGGACACGTGTTACATATGCCCAACGACCGACTACCTCGACGTGCTATGTTCAGTGGTATAGGAGTAGGTTGGAAGAAAGCTAAGGGCGGACAGACCAACAAATGTCACAAATCCATGAAGTCACTGACAAGTGAACTGAGCCATGTTGCTAGGTGTAGACTACCTGGTTGGGGACCGCGAGATGATAGCTACCGATGGTTAGAGACCCTGAATGACATGGCTCAAAATCGTTTGCAATGGCGCAGGTGCATCTACTCTTTGTGTTCTCCCTGATTCTAATTTGTATTCTTCATGTCCCTTTTTTCTCTTCCAAAATTTATTTCACTGTGTTATACTCTTTAAATAACATCTCCAAACCCTAATCTTCTCGATTACTGCTTATAATCTTACTACCTCTACCACTACGGGATTTGAATCGACAACTGCATCTCTGTGCTAATGTGGTGTGGCAACTCGAACTGATTTACGTACGTACGAAGTTCTACGTCGTTACTGACTGACAGATGGAGATCGAAATTGTAGTGCTTCAATAGCATCTTGAATACTGGACTCAGATTGACATTAGACATCGATGTTGAGATTTTCTAATGGTATACCCAACCCTATCTGTTATCCGGTTTGTATCAGTGGGTGAACGTTGGAGGCCAGTTTGATTGGTGTGAGTGATGTCAGAAAGGTTGGTTTCAGAATTCGTGCTCAGTGGTAGCATCCAACTGTCGACCAGTCATTGACCTGAGACCGTTTTCATAGAACAGGGATTCCACCATAGGCGAGCTGTTG